TATCCAATCGAAGAAGTTTTTGACCCAGCTACATTTGCTTGTGATCAAACATTGATTAACTCACAATTTTCTACTGGTCTCGAACTTCTTGATATTCCCAAATCAGAAGACGCTCAACCTATTTTTGATCTTCTCGATTCACAAAGATTTTACCTAACTCTACAATTAATTAATACTGGATTTATGTGTAATGTTATTGCTACACAAGAAAATCTAAGTGGTACTAAACATGTTTCCTTACCAAATAATTGTACACGATCAGCTTCGAAAGGGACAACATCAATAACACTTCCTGTGCCGAAACATGAGACAACTTTACAATTCAATATGACTGGTCCTTATTGGATTGGTGCTATTCGTTTATGTATTCGAGGACAAGGTCAAACAAATATGAGTATCAATTTACGTGAACTAGATTTTTGTCAATTTTATGCAACACCTAATGAAGCTATTGGTAGAACAACTTATATTCCAATTGTATTTATTAAAAACATCAATATGACGAATGCACTAAGTGCATCAGATCAAACTAATTATTCAGGTTTATGGATACCAACATTCTCTGCTGTATCACTATCAGATGAAGAGTATTATGCTGAATCTGGAAATTATTTACGTTATATGTCTTCATTAACTGTTATTCAAATCACACTTGATGAACGTCCATTTTTTATTAAGAATATTGAAGAACCTATTGTTCGAACAGCTGAGTTAGTTTTTAAGGTATTATTATTTACTTCTTTATGTATTGAACTATTTGCTTTTGCGTTCCTTATCGTTGATCTTCTTATACTACCATTATTACGTTCGATCATATGTTTATGGAAAAGATGTCGTGGTCAAAATGTTAAATCAGATAATTCAAATGGATCTACTAAATCACCGTTACGTTCAAAAACTTCGAAGAAAGAAGATTCTATTCAAAATATGAAAATTGATCAGTTGACAGCTCTCGAAACAGATCTATCTATATTAAACGAAAATCATCAAGACCTACGCAACAAATATTCAACATCAAATCCTGAATTAAGTCTATCTGAAATTCATTATAGATTCTAATTAGATTGTCTGAATGAACATCATTTTCTATATCTTAATTTCAATCCAACTTTTTTTTAATGAATTTTAATAAAATATACGGGGATAACCAGTTAAGAATATCCTAACTGTTTTTTCTTATCAGATGTAATTCAAATGTAGTATTGGTTAATACCTACCTATTCAATTCTTTATCATGATAGAAGCAATGTTTCTCAATTACTTTCTTGATATAATATAGCATTCAAGGTATTCCTTTTCGACTTTGTTTCTATTATTCAATTTTGACTTCAAGCATTTGAAACAACCTTAAGTATTAGCAAAAACGTTTTCTCAACAAGAAGTTAGTTTAAAAACTAGGCACACATATCATTCGGTGTATTTACGAATAGAAGATTTCATCATTTTATGAACAGATCATGGACAAACAACATGTGCAATTTTCCTTATCTTTTCAAAGCCGTCGATAACAAGTTTTATAGAGTTGTCAGTTTAACATTAATTCCGAGATGAATGTCACCTCAAATATCTACATTGTAAAGCTAAAAGAATATGAAAAACTCATGAAAATCCCCCCCATTCAAGAATTGACTTATGGAAACGAAATCGTAAAAAAATATCTTGAACTATATAACGTCAATGAAATACTTAACAAATATCGCTTTTATCAAAATACAGGCTCATAAAGTAGGCACTTACTAGCACTACATATGAACTATATCTGGTGAGAAAATCACACTATTCCAATCTGCTATTCGAGTTTTAGAAAGAAAACAAACTTACGGTATCTCTGACCGTCACTTTCATGTGACATATTTTTATTATACGATAAATCTTATTTTGAATCTGGTAATTAAAACATTGATGCCAAAAAAAGAAGAACAGTATTAATGGATTGTAAAAGGTTCTCTCTTGTATTTGCAATTGTCTATGTTTATATTTCAATGTAGAGGGAAAAAAGGATAAATACTGACAGTCAAATTATTTATGAACGATGTGTTACATATGAAGAACAATGATATTTGTTTTAGAATGTCTGACTTAAAGTACAATGTTATAATTTTGTTTTCATGTTTCACAGATGGTTTCTAATATAGTTCTCTGCAATAATTTATATAAAAAAAAGCATATTATCGTTGTCTGTTCTTAATCATTCTACAACATAGAAAAATAATTTTTGGATCAACGTTAAATCAAACTGTGTGGGATTAAAACATGAAATTTAATGTAGCTGCTGTTGTTAATCACAGGAGGCTTGTTTTATACCATGTATTTTGTAACAAATTTCTTCGTTACGCTTCTCGAGAAATGCAATAAGGAAGAAGTTCATTTACTAAAAACAGGTGCTACCAATGACGATCACAGGCTATAGGAGTGAGAATCTAAAATATTGCCTCTACGTCTCAACACTCCTTTCAGATCGTGTTTCATAAAATAAACCTTTTGAAGGTCGACCTTTTTGTCTTACAGGAAAATGTTAGATTTTCGATACTTTTTTACTTTAAACACTCCCTTCATTCTCACACAGTGCTGTGTGCGTGTATGTGAATTACACGAATAAGTAAAGTAATTATATTTGAAAAGATTACCGAATTTTTCACATAGAAAATCAATTAACGTTGAAACTAGTTAATTACTAGCGAGAACCCGTGCATACTGCACGGCTGTTTTCTCCTTCAATGTATGACTTCAGATATTTAACTTTTCATCGGGTAAAATACATAGAGACACTTGATATTATGTATACAGATGGGTTGCCCTACGACCTCATACTCTCATATCGCACATATTTTTATAGTCCATCCAGTCTTCGGCCTTATAGTCTTATATTCCTTGTAGCCTTATCTCCCTATTCCCTTAGTTCCCTCAGGGCTTGTGCGTATCACAATATAATAGCGCTTGAGGACCTACACGTATCCCCATTCGATAGCCCCTGAGGACCTATGGGTACCCCCATAGGATGGCCCTTGAGGACCTACGGGTACCCCTATAGGATGGTTCTTGAGGACCTATGGGTACCCCCATAGGATAGCCCTTGAGGACCTTTGGGTACCCCCATAGGATAGCCCTTGAGGACCTACGAGTACCCCTATAGGATTGGCCCTTGAGGACCTATGGGTTTCCCCATAGGATAGCCCTTGAGGACCTATGGGTACCCCTATAGGATGATCCTTGAGGACC